GTGTTCCCCTTCTCTCCATCTCCTCATCTTACACTCTATGTGTTCCCCTTCTCTCCATCTCATCATCTTATACTCTATGTGTTCCCCTTCTCTACATCTCCTCATCTTACACTCTATGTGTTCCCCTTCTCTCCATCTCCTCATCTTACACTCTATGTGTTCCCTTTCTCTCCATCTCCTCATCTTATACTCTATGTGTTCCCCTTCTCTCCATCTCCTCATCTTACACTCTATGTGTTCCCCTTCTCTCCATCTCCTCATCTTATACTCTATGTGTTCTCCTTCTCTCCATCTCCTTATATTATACTCTATGTGTTCCCCTTCTCTCCATCTCCTCATCTTATACTCTATGTGTTCCCCTTCTCTCCATCTCCTCATTATACTCTATGTGTTCTCCTTCTCTCCATCTCCTCATATTACACTCTATGTGTTCCCCTAGTCTCCATCTCCTCATATTATACTCTATTTATTGTCCTCCTTTGTTCACTCTTATTCTTCCTTGAAGTAGAACTTGTAAAGTGAGAGTTCTAATAGTCACTTACACTTTTGTCAAGAGCTCTCTTTTACGCTTCCACTCGCACTTTTCGCAAAAAACAACCATAGAAAGGTCGCCGCCAATGTTTAATTAAGACACGCGAGAATCCTTTAAAGTAAATTAAGAGTGAAATAGGAGCAGTCTCGCAGCAAATTGACAATAGCCTCTTCTTCCTTAGAAGATACTAAACACACATCGTGGGGCTTATGGTGTGCATAAGATTTTCACTGAGTCAATAGTAGAGTAGACAGCGTTCTCGGCATAATAATATATATATTATGTATCATAACATGGTGGAATCGGGCGCTCGTCAAATTTTGGGCATATTTGTATCATATTATAGCCACTTTATTTGTCTTGCTTTTAGTTGTTTTAGTAGAGTTTTTAAAGTGCTCGCAACTGCATAAGGTCATATGAGCACCAGTGTCTTGCTTTGAAGATTTAAAATATCCATATACTTTGAATAGAAGTCGAGATATTTGGGATTAAAGGTGGAGGGGCTGCCTGGTTTCAGATGTAAAATTAGCTAGAAAAAAGCTGTCAAAATATGCTGAATGTTATAGCTTGATAGTCCCTGGAAGCTGAAAATTTACACTTGTTGTGTCTTTAATCAACGTTTTCAAGTAAAATGCACAGAAAGATTGCGTTTTTAAATGGAACGAAAAGGGGTTTAACCATTAATTTTACAAGTTCGAAAACAAATCCCAAACCGGTGGATAAAATGCCAGTTTTCTTCTCTTTGATTATTTTGACGAGCGCCTGATTTCCCCACGACTCCTCACATATAAGTAATAAGTAAGCCTGTATCTCTGCCATTTTTTTTTGTATTGGGAAAATCTTTTGTTATGGCGGGTTGGCAGAGCGTCATGTCACCGGTGTAGGATTTCTCTGTCTGTATTTTCCTTGCTACCATCGTCGTCCCTGTTTGTTTTGTCATCTACTTGAACTTTTGCTGGTTTGTTTATCAAGCTAAAGACCAATCTGTCTGTCTGTCTGTCTGTCTGTCTGTCTGTCTGTCTGTCGGTGTGTCTGTTCTTTCCTTGCTACCATCGTCGTCCCTGTTTGTTTTACCATCTACTTGAACTTTTGTTGGTTTGATTATCAAGCTATTGTCCATTTTGTCTGTCTGAATGTCTGTCTGTCAGCCAGTCTGTCTGTCTGTCTGTCTTCTCTTCTCTGCATTTAAAGTTAGTCCTTACATTTCTTCCTTACTTTGCTTAAAATTCACAACGAATTCGTGATTTAACTGTTACTTACTTCCAAGGTCTTGCGCACCTGGCTGTAATTGAGTGTTGTAAAAAAAAATTTCCAGCTGGAAAAATAAATTAGAAGAGCTTTGGGGGCTCTCGTGATCTAGAGGTTAAGGTGTTCGCCTCTCATTCAATAGGCCTCGAGTTCGAATCCGGATAGCGACGGAAGGTTTTCTTTTCTAAAATTGTCTCCTTTCACTTCCTTTCCTGCTCTCTAATAATGTTCTGTCGTCTGCTTTCGTCTCCACTTTCTGTCCCAACCCCCTCACCTCCTTTGCCCCCTCCTCTGGGCTCCTGACTCTTTCTGCAGCCTTTCTACTGCTACTCCCGGGATCCTTCTTTAGGCAGTCTTTCAGCCACACCCCTAATATTCTTGTAGGAAAGATCTACACCTAGCCTTCTCGGACGAGGGCGAAAAAGGTCGGAGGTCCCGTGTGCAAGTTGCGTATATTAAAGATCCCTTAGTGGTAAAAAAAAAATCGATAAGAGTAGTCTTGGGCCGCCACGCGTGCAAATTTCAAAATTTCCTACTAACCGAAAATGTTTAAAGTGTCCCGCTCGCTCATATGACCGTATGCAGTTGCGAGAGTCGTAAAAAATTACCCCACAAAAAAGGGGAAAAAAGAGCTTTGTCGATTCTAGATAATTGCCAACACCCTGCCGCTGTTGTGAGGCTTACCTGCTGTGGTGGATTCCGAGGTTCCAACAAGAGAGGAGGTTGTCGCTCATCGTTCTTCTTCAATATCATAATATCATGCAATCATCATCATCAAGGGTCAGATCTGCGACAGCCATCGGCGATCATGGTTGTCCATTCATGCCTTTGCTCGGATGTTCTAAAAAAAGCTCCGTTTCTCTGATCTTTCCAATATCATGCAATATGATAATTAATTATCCCTTCTCGCCGCTATACCCACACTTATGTCCCGACATCATAATGACATTCATTGTGTTACGACAAAGCTATGCTATCGTGACGTCTCTAATTGGTCACTTTTAAGGACAAGCGGGCCAACCCAGATTTCGGGGGGTTCCAGAAATCTTGACCTATACCAAACGTGGGCATTGCCCTACCTGTAGGAGAAAATTAGTTTCATAGATGTATTATAAGGATCCAAATATTTTACCTTCGATTTTCTCAAAACAGCATTTTTCGGGGTAGCCCCATTGTGCTTAAAAGCGACCAATTATGGCTTGGGCTTCAACACCACCACCACAACCACCACCACTTCAGCAATCAAAAAACCTCTACCCCCATCGCCACCACCACCACCACCATCACCACCATTCCCTTCAGCAATCAAAACACCTCTACCCCCATCACCACCACCACCACCACCATCATCACCACCATTCCCTTCAGCAATCAAAACACCTCTACCCCCATCACCACCACCACCACCACCATCACCACCACCATTCCCTTCAGCAATCAAAAAACCTCTACCCCCATCACCACCACCACCACCATCACCACCATCCCCTTCAGCAACCAAAACACCTCTCCCACCATCACCACCACAACCCTACCACCACAACCACAACCACAACCGCCACAACCACCACCACCACCACCACAACCACCACCCCCTTCAGCAATCAAAACACCTCTACAACATCAACATCATCACTACCACCATCATCACCACCACCACTACCGCCAACAACAACAACAAAAACAACAACAACAACAACAACAATAACAACAACAGCAGCAGCAACAACAACAACAACAACAACAACAACAACAACAAAAACAAATTCGCCCTATGGAGTTAACAAAAGAACGTTCTCAAGCACTTCACAAAATATACCCCAGTTCTCAAACATTGTTTGTCGTGCGATTTTTTGACCTTGTCAATATTTTCTTACCTAAGACTTATTTGCCGAACTCTGGGCGAGATCTACCAACAATAACGGTAGTTGGAACACACTTACTTCGTGCCGTGAGAAAATGGAAACTACAAAAAGAAAAAGTCTACACAGATTAAGGTACGTTCGCAAAGTGTCTTAACCTTTAAAGGTCAAAGATGAGACACGCGCCAGGTCACGACGTGGTGGAATCAGGCTCTCGCCAATTTTTGGGGGCGTTTAGAGTTATTAATATCGTCTTATAGCTTGTTCATTTGTCGTGCTTTGGGTGAAAAAAATATCCACGAATCTTGAATAGAAGTCGACATATTTGCGAATGAGAAGGCGGTGGTCACCTAGTTTCAGAGACAAAATTTGTGAGAAAATGGCCGCCAAAGTTTAGTTATTTTCTCTGCTTGAGAGTAAGTAAAAACTTGAAATCTATATTTTTGGGGGCCTCGAATCATTTTTTTCCAATAAAATCCACACAGAAATGTGTTATTTAATGGGCACGAAAGGTGTTGTGCCAAAAAACCTAAATTCGATAAAAATTCGCAAATTTGCTGGAAAATGCCAGTTTCTTCACTCTGATTATTTTGACGAGCGCCTGACTTCACTACGCTGCCTCTCATATGTGTAACGATGCGGAGGAATCAGGGTGCACGTCAATTTTTGGGCATGTGAATTTTTAGCGGTATCATCTTAGAGCATGGTTATTTGTCTGTACATTGATGAAAAAAATACTCATTTATCTTGAGTAGAACTCGAAATACTTGTTATTGAAGGAGATGGGGTCGCCTGGTTTCCGAATTAAAACTAGGAAGAAAAAGGCCTTCAAAGTTTAGTGACTCCCATCGCTTGAGAGTCCTTGGGAACTGTAACTTTACATCTTTTAGTCTGTAATCAACGATTTTCAGAAAAATCCACATTGAAATATGATTTTTAAAAGACCTAAAAGGTGTTGAGACAAAAAAAAAGGAAAAAGGAAAAAAGCACGACAGCCAGAAGACTGCAAGTTTCGTTGATTCCGTTGTTTTGACCGGTGCCTGATTTCACCACGCTGTTTCACATATTACTGCACATTCAGAACCACCATTCTCAAATCCGAAATACGAATCTGCACGTGTCGCTAGATTCTTTTTATTAATATATCGTTGCCTGTTCCAGGCAAAATACGAAAAAAAAAAGAAAAAAAAAAGAAGAAAGTTTATGTCTCATTTTTTAAATTGTCCCAAATGAATGTCGAACGATCAGAAGGCAAGTCCACAATGAGGTGATTATCATGGAAAAACACAGAAAGGTTATCTCTACGAGAAGAGGAAGATCAAGCGTACTTTAAGACTTTTTGTGGTAAGCGTTTTACGGCGCTGGCAGCTGCATATGGTCATGTGAGCGTCTAAGACACAACAAACATTTTCAGTTTATAGGAAATTTTGAATTTTGCCCGGGTGGCAGCCGAAGCCTACTTTTATCGATTTTAGACCACCAATGAACCTTTAACGGGCGCAACTTGCACACGGGACCTTCGAGTTTTTTGTCCTTGTCCGTGAAGGCTAGATGTAGATCTTTCCTACCAGGAGATCAGGGGTGTGGCTGAAAGACAGCAGTAAGAAGGAGCCAAGGAGTAGCAGAGGAAAGGTTTCAAAAATAGTCTGGAACCCAGGAGGGCGGGGGGCAAAGGAGGTGAAGGGTGGGTGCAGAAAGTGGATAAGAAAGCAGACGACAGAACATTGTTGGATAGCAGGGAAGGAGGTGAAAGAGGAATAATTCAAAAACAAAAAATTTCCGTAAATACCCGGATTTGAGCCCGGGACCTTTGAATGAGAGGTAAACACCTGAAACTCAGGGCCACGAGAGCCCCCCGCCCCC